AAAATAAAATAAAATTTTAAAAAGAGAAAAGTTGGATCTCTGTTGCTAGAAAAATCCATAAGCACACATATGCACACATTTCACCTGTAATGTCAAGGAATTCAATCATTGGCTGAAACATGTATGTGAACTAATAAGTGGCCTATTAGGGTTAAGAAGCCTAGGGGAATGGAAATGTGCTCTCAAAATCTTCATAGCTCCAAGACAAAAGATACCAAGAATAGGTATGTTCAGATAAAACTATTCTAGGATTTTGACTACCCTGAGTTTAGTTCTAAACTGCTCTATGATGCTTGTTGGAACATAACCAGATTAAGGAGAGAGTCAGTTAATATCTGTCTCAGGTGCTAAAACGTAAGCACTTCAAAAACATCCATAGAAATATAATGAAGGGAGAAAGTGGATTTAGATAACTTTTCACAGGGAGAGTCCTGCGAATGAACAAAACAATAAGAAATACTTTGAAAAGTTCCTTGAGGTGGTGTTACAGATAGAACTGTATCCCCCTCAGATTTGTATTTTGAAACCCTAAGCCCCAAATGTGACTGTACAGTCATGCACCACATTACAATATTTTGGTCAAGCAAAGCTATACAAAAGTGGTCCAATAAGATTGCAAGGGAGCTGAACATGTCCTACTGCCTCGAGATGTCATGACCATCATAAATGCCATAGCCCAATACATTACTCATATGTTCGTGGTGATACTGGGGTAAATAAACCTACTGTGCTGCCAGTTGTATAAAATTATAGCACAACACTTACGTACAGCACATAATACTCCATAATGAAAATAAGCAACTATATTATTGGTTTATGTATATACTACACTATTAATTGTGATTTTAGAGTGTACTTCTACTTATTAACAAAAAGTTAACTCTAAAACAGCCTCAGGCAGGTCCTTTCAGAGAAGGCATTGTTATCCTAGGAGATGACATGTTATCCTTGCATGTTATTGCCCCTGAAGGCCTTCCAGTGCGACAAGGTGTGGAGGGAGACGATAGTAATATTGATATATTGACTATCCTGACCCTGGGCAGGCCTAGGCTAATGTATGTGTTTCTTAGTTTTTAACAAAATAGTTTAAAAATGCAAAAGTAAGTAAATGAAACAATTTAAAAAATAGAAAAGAATAAGGAAAAGAATAGAGAATAAAAAATTCTTATGTAAGAATTAAAAAATTTGTACAGGCCGGGCGCGGTGGCTCAAGCCTGTAATCCCAGCACTTTGGGAGGCCGAGACGGGCGAATCACGAGGTCAGGAGATCGAGACCATCCTGGCTAACACGGTGAAACCCCGTCTCTACTAAAAAATACAAAAAACTAGCCGGGCGAGGTGGCGGGCGCCTGTAGTCCCAGCTACTCGGGAGGCTGAGGCAGGAGAATGGCGTAAACCCGGGAGGCGGAGCTTGCAGTGAGCTGAGATCTGGCCACTGCACTCCAGCCTGGACGACAGAGCCAGACTCCGTCTCAAAAAAAAAAAAAAAATTTGTACAGCTGAACAATGTTTGTGTTTAAGCTAAGTGTTATTACAAAAGAGTAAAAAAGTTAAAATATTAAAAAGTTCATAAAGTAAAAAAGTTACAGTAATTTAACTTTAATTTATTACTGAAGAAATACATTAAAAAAATAAATTTAGTGAAGCCTAAGTGTACAGTTGTACAGCGTTTTGTTTTTTTTTTTGTGACGGAGTTTCTCTTGTCACCCAGGCTGGAGTGCAGTGGTGCAATCTCTGCTCACTGCAACCTCCGCCTCCTGGGTTCAAGCAATTCTTCTGTCCAGCTAATTTTTGTATTTTTTAGTAAAGATGGGGTTTCACCATGTTGGTCAGGCTGGTTCTGAACTCCTGACCTCAGGTAATCTACCTGCCTCCCAAAGTGCTGGGATTACAGGTGTGAGCCACCGCTCCAGGCCGTGTACAGTGTTTATAAAGCCTATGTTCGTGTACAGTAATGTCCTACGCCCTCACAGTCACTCACCACTCACTCACTCACTCACTCACCCAGAGAAACTTCCAGTTCTGCAAGCACCATTCTTGTTAAGTGTCCTATACAGGTGTAGTATTTTAAAATATTTTGCACCATATTTTTTACTGTACTTTTCTGTTTAGGTATGTTTAGATACACAAATACTTTCCATTGTGTTAGTAACAATTGCCTGCAGTATTCAGTAGAGTAACATGCTGCGCAGGTTTGCAGCCCAGGAGTAATAGGCTGTGCCATATAGCCTAGGTGTGTGGTACGCCATACATCTAGGTTTGTGTAAGTCCACTCTAGGATGTTCGCACAACGGCAACATTGCCTAATGACACATTTATCAGAACATATGTATGACTATATTTGGAAAGAGGGACTTCAGGGAGGTGATTAAGGCTGAGTGAGATTAGAAGAGTGGGGTCCCATACTGATGGACTGCCAGCCTTACAAGAAGAAAATGATGATACCAGGCTGCTCACTATCTCTTCCTATGAGCAGACAGAAGAAAACTCATTTGAAGAAACAGTGAGAAGGTGACCGTCTACAAGCCCAGAAGTGAGGCCTCATCAGAAACTCACCCTGTCAGCACCTCCATCTTGAACTTCTAGCCTCCAGAATGATGAGAAAATCAATTTCTGTTGTGTAAGCGACTCAGCCTGTGGAAGCTCATTATGGCAGCCTGAACAGATGTGTACAGGTGTAGTTACAGCCTACTGCCTTCCTCCCACTCCAAGGTATTTCTCTGCCAGGAGAAGGTTCCAGTATCAAGAAAGAGTCCTTTAACTGCTGTTTGAAAAGGGAGCCTTCTGCTTGTTGCAATATTTGTATTTTACCTGAGACAACTCTGGAAAAGGTTAGATGCAGCCACCTGTGGTCTCTTTTCTATCCTCTTCCTACACATTCCTCAGTATCTCTCTCTCTCTCTCTTTTTTTTTTTAGACAGAATCTCATTACATCACCCAGGCTGGAGTGCAGTGGCACAATCTCGGTTCACTGCAACCTCCACCTCCCTGGTTCAAGTGATTCTTCTGCCTCAGCCTCCCAAGTAGCTGGGACTACAGGCGTGTACCACCACACCTGGCTAATTTTCATATTTTTAGTAAAGACCGAGTCTCATCATATTGGCCAGGCTGGTCTCGAACTCCTGACCTCGTGATCTGCCCACCTCGGTCTCCCAAAGTGCTGGGATTACAGGCATGGGCCACTGCGCCCGGCCCTCAGTGTCTCTTTCATCACAAGGCTGAGTGAACGTTTGCCTATCATTTTGAAAGGGCACCAAGTTAGCCCTTGGGATGGGTCAGCAGGTCCCAGACTGGTCCTGCTGGGTGGTCAGGTTTCAGGCTATCCCAGCAAAACTTAAGGAACGCACTTCTGCTCTTAGGTGCAGGGAGGGCTTTGGGGGTGGGATTTGAATTTGGGATTCTATAAACACATCTCGCTGGCTGTGGGAATGCCCTTCTCCCTCTGTATCTGACAAAGAGCAGACAATGGACTCAGCCATCAGCCCACTGGTCGTACATGGCTCTCATAGGCTGCGCGGGACAGGGTCGTGGGTTTGGGCGAGACAGACTCTCCACTACAGTCAACAAGGACTGCTTCCTGGTTACGAATATTTTCCTTTCTGCCTTCTAAAGCTTCCAGAGTTTGGTTTGTCTCTCTTCCAATTTTCAGGCTACCACTTTTGTCAAACATAATTATATACTTTATAGACACAATATATATGTGTGTATATGTGTGTGTGTATGCAGCGTGAAAAATTCAAGTAATACAAAATTGTTGTAAGCACTTTTGATTGAAATATCTCAATCTAATCCCCATATTTCTTGGACAACAACCCTTTGGAAACATATATAATTTTTCCCCCAAACCCCCTACCCCTGAGGAAGTAGACATAACTTTTAGCATGTTTTCTTTGAAAAAATAGTGAAAGATGTATCACCAGCCTGTCTTTCTTTTACACTGACCTTGCAGGGGCAAAAAACCAAAAACAAAACAGTAGTCTCCAGATAAGCTGTTAGAATTATTCCACTGCAGAGATTCAAGGAGATTCTACAGCTTACAGTAATTGGGCCAAGAGGAAGTAGAGTATAGAGAGGTGTTTGACAACAAGGAAATAAAATGACCATTTTGAGGCAGGACAAGGTAGTCAGATCCATATAAGCACTGGAGCAAGGATGATCTATTTTGTAGAGGAGACAGTAGCTATGAGGAATGCCCCTAATCATCTGCTATAAACAGATGCTTCCTCCTCCTTGAAGGCAGGAATATTGGGGTAAGGGACCATTTGTATCATTTGTATTCACAATACGTGTGTGTGTGTGTGTGTGTGTGTGTGTTTAACACACATCAAAGGCAGGAATATTGGGATAAGGGACCACTTGTATTCACAATACGTGTGTGTGTGTGTGTGTGTGTGTGAGACACACATCAAAGGCAGGGATATTGGGGTAAGGGACCGTTTGCATTCACTATGTGTGTGTGTGTGTGTGTGTGTGTGTAATACATATCAAAGGCAGGGATATTGGGGTAAGGAACCATTTGCATTCACAATACGTGAGTGTGTGTGTGTAACACACATCGAAGGTAGGAATATTCGGGTAAGGGACCATTTGCATTCACAATACGTGTTATGTGTGTATATGTGTGTGTGTGTGTGCGCGCGTAACAGAGAGAATGTGAAAGAGATAGAGGGAGTGGGGTGGGTAAAAGTAGGAGGTGTTTCTCTCTCCCAGGATTATAATGAACAATGAGCTGCAATCCTTTGGGAAGAACTGCAATGCAAGTACAAATACTTACAAAGTTTTGAGGCTTTCCAATCCCTTGAACATCTTATGCTGCACATTTTCCAAACGATTACTTGTGAGAAGTATTTCATTTACACCAGATGCTCCTTCAAATGCTCCCTCCTCAATATCTGTGATCTTATTGTTGCTAAAGTTTCTAAATAAAAATTGTGGGAACAAAGATTTTAAACAATTTCTAATAAGGAGGGAATTGAAACATAGTTGATCATTTTCTTCTAATGATCCAAGTCTTCCAACTTTTCACCGCCCAGCACTGCCAGGGCTCTGAAAAGATTCCACTTCCCTACACCATCAAGACAAAGGGACAATAATAATAAGAGGGACTGTCTATGGTAAAATATGCCAGCGTGACTCATGTCAAACTCTCCAAAGGTCCCCAGGAGTATAAAATTCTTGAGGTCAGGTACTGGGTTACACAAACCTTTATGCCATCTATAAAATCCAACAAGAAACTTTTCAAAAAAATATCCCTGATTAAAATTGTCAAATGAATTAATGACTAAAAGAAGACAACTGGGTAGAGATAGAAGGGCTAAAATTTGTTAGTGTTTTATATATAGCATCAGAAATGTATTTGAATATGGGTTTATTCCCAGAAGAACTTCTCATGTAATAATGTGTTGAAACAACCAAATTAATTGTCAGTATTATGTATGATACTAACTACTACAATGCTTGCCAGAAGGCAAGAGTATCTAGTTGAGGTTAACTTTCTATAGGCTTTTTCTTTCTCTTTCTCACTGATTGTTCACTCCAAGACCAGAAGTGTCCCCCAAACAAGGATCATTTTTATGCATATTTTAATTTCTCTGAGAGAATTGTACACAGTAGCTTCTTAATAGATATTTGTTTCATGGAAAATCATCTTATAGCTAAAACGAAAGTGCATTTCATAACAGTGAAAAAGGAGGGCAATTAAGATATGAGAAACCATTTGCGAGGTAGCCTAATATGGATGCCTACTGTACAAGTAGTCTGTTCTGTAACTTACAGTCTATGTGACTATGGGCCAGTTACATATGTGGACACACAGCTAAAGTGAGTCGATGCTTCTTTCCTCCTGCTGATGTTTCCGCATGTGTGAGGGTGCTCCACTGGTCCCATGCTATTGACCTATGTCCTGTCTCTCCCTCACACCTCCCCAGGGGTATGGAGTAACCCACTGAGTGCTGCTGAAACTGCTGAGCTTATGAACTTATTTTAAAATATGAGTTGTGGACATGTAGTAACACAGATGAGCTATTGAGCCAGTTTACCAATCATTAATTTTGAATATCTTCTAATGAAAGTTTAATGAAGCAAAAAAGTCCAATAGTTGACATGAAAAAGAAAGAACAGCATGGTTTGGGGAATGGTAAAGGAAGTTACAAAACCTTACTGAACCCATTTTAATGTGCTTAGATTGCTGGATTCCTGCTGTGGCCACATAACAGACCAGCTGTCTGAGTTAAAGTCAGATGCTTAGGCTCTGCTACAGAAAATGTGATTGACACTGTTGACACACAGAAAAGTTCTTGCAGAGATTACCCTGAATTCATGTCACAGGTCACCATCGTAGGGAAATTTCCCAGGATTTTTAATATTTTCTAATTTTCTAAGAAACTTAAGAAAACGAACACAACAAAATGCTACGGAAATTAAAAAAAAAATAGCTAACAAGTGACTTACATTTTACGTAATTGAGGAAGTTTCTTAAAGATTCCTGTGGCTTCCAACACGGTAAATTCATTATTATTGAGACGCCTGAAGAAAAAGGAAGGAATAGAGAAGTTTTATTACCAGTAGTTAGGAAAGCAGTAAATTTGATTTCTCAAAATGAATTCTAACATTACTGAATGACACCAGGAAAATAAAAGGAAATACGTATATCACAGAAGATTTGTGGAACATACTGATGTTTTTTCTCATTTTATTCAAATTTTAATCAAAATAAAATGTTAGGAAGTTTTTTTTACACAGTAAAAAAAGAAAAAAATCAAAGATCAAAACCAGCTCTCAGCAATCTCTAGAACAAATTTTCTCCAATTTTTTCCACTATCACCCCCACTAAAAAGGATTTTCAGACTGTTTTTTCCCTAATTGTTTTCTTCACAATTGGAACAAAAATTACAGCTTTATTAGAATGCGATTCACATGCCAGAACATTTACCCTTTTAAAGTGTACAATTCAGTGGTTTTTAGTATATTCACAAAATTGTGCAACCATCTTTGCTATCTAATTCCAGAACATCTTCATTACCCCCAGAAAGAAACCCCATACTTCTTACCAGTCACTCCCGGTGGCTATTCCCCTACAGCCCTTGGCAACTACCAGGTTACTTTTTGTTTTTATTAATTTTCCTATTCTGGGCATTTTGTATAAATGGAATCATGTAAGATGTAGCCTTTTCTGTCTGGCTTCTTTTGCTTTATATAATGTCTTGTTCCTGTTGTAGCATATGGCAGTGCTTCATTATTTTTTAAGACTCAATGATATTTCATTACACAGGCATGACACATTTGTTTATCCATTTATCAGTTAGGAGGCATTTGTGTTGCCTCCATTCTTTGACAGCTATAAATAATGCTGCTATGAACGTGGTGTGCACGTTTCTGCCTGGATAGATGCTGTCATTTTTTCGACATATACATAGGAGTGGCATTGCTGGATCACATGGTAAATCTGTGATTAACTCTTTGAGAAATAGCAAAAAAGATTTCCATAGAAGCTTTACATTCAGACCAGCGATGTATAAAGGTTTCAATTTCTTCTACTATGTTGCTCTCCCTTTTTTTTTTTTAGCCATTCCAGTGGGTCTAAAATGGTATCTCATTGTGGTTTTGATTGGAATTTCCCTAATAACTAATGATATTGAGCAGTTTTTCATGTGTTTATTGGACATGTGTTTATATGTTCTTTGGAGAAAGGTCAATATGAATAATTTAACCACTCATTAGCTGAGTAAAATACCTTTTAATCTAAATTATAAGAGCTCTTCATACATTGTGAATGTATCTTATTAGATACATGATTTGCAAATATTTTCTTCTCAGTACTGATTTTATTGTATAATTTAAAAAATTACAAATCTCTTACATTACACACATTTGCTGAAGTCTAAACTGGAGGCTAGTTCCCACTATAATTCTTCCATGACAAACAAACTTATTTAAAGTGCTAGGCCAGGGGCAGTGTCTCATGCCTATAACCCTGGCACTTTGGGAGGCAGAAGGAAGAGGATTGCTTGTGCTCAGAGTTCAAGACCAGCCTGGGCAATAGGGCAAAATCCCATCTCTACAAAAAATACAAAAATCAGCTGGGTGTGGTGGTGCATGCCTGAGGTCCCAGCTTCTTGGGGGGATGGGGAAGGGGGACTGAGGTGGGAGGATCCCTTGCACCCAGGAGGCCAAGGCTACAGGGAGCTGTGACGGTGATACTGCACTCCTGCCTGGGCAAGAGACTGAGAGCCTCTCTCAAAAAAAAAAAAAAAAAAGTCCTATTGTGCTGGAAGATATCACTTGTTTGTAGTATTATAAGTAATAAGCATAAATCCCTATATAACTGTAAAAAATAAAGTTCAGGGCCTTGGTTGCATGATCTCCATGCATTTCTAAAATTCCTGGAGCTGTGAAATAGCTTCATTAACTAACAGGAGTACAAAAAAAAAAAAATCACTGTAACTACCAGATAGTTGGTTTCTGTCGAGTCTTTGAAAGGCATTACTTTATTTTTAGTTATTCAAATTGCTAAAAATTAATTAAGTACTGGCATGAGTACAGGCACAGTGGGAGATAAACAATAACACACAATCCCTGTCATCAAGGAGCTATAATCTAGTTAAAGACAGAAGGATTATATACAAACAAACAGACAACAAACTTTGCAAAGCAGTAAATGACAAATACCAGATGTTGCTATCCATAAACATGGCTAAGATGTTGAGAGAATGATGAGGTTTCATTAGTTTTTTTCTTGAATTGTTAGAACACTAACGTTAAAGGTCGTCTTTTTATAAATAAAGTCAGTAAAGGCAAACCATGCATGCGCGTAGAATCTGTGAGTGCTCCAACCAACATTCTAGTACTTAGAATGTGCAAGGTCCTGTGTTAAGGCTGTTAAGTGTAAATGCCATCATATTCTGCCTTTTCAGCTTTTCTTGCATTGTTCAGAAAAAGCTATCCTTTCTACTTTAATACCTGATGATCACTGAATCCTTTCACCCGTAAGTCAATGAAGTAGTAAATTAGGTAAGATGGACTCCTTGAATCTATCGCTTACAGAAATTGAAAATTGAGGCTCTCAAACTACTTTATTTAGTTGCTATAAGGATTAAATACGTTAAAAAAACTAAGTACATAGAAAATAGTTTGGGAATAATAATACCCAATAAATAAGCATCAAATAAACACCACTGTTATTAGTAAGAAGTGCTTACTGCATTTTGAGAGATAAATTAGTTCTGTACTTAATCGTATGGTTGGCTAGAAAGATGAACGAAGGTAGCCTCTAATATATTCTTGTACTAAGAAGAGTTATGCCAATGTAATGCCTGTTAATTAAAATTAACACAATTATTAATAATAAAAATGGCAAGACAAACATTCCTATGCTTTAATGCTTTCATTCCCTCCTTCCCAACCAGAATTTTGTTGGCGGATGAACTTACAACTCTGCAGTGTACTGGGGAATGTGCTCTGGGATTTTGTTGAGTTTTTGATTAGAGCAATCTACTGTGGTTCCTTCACAGCGACACTTTTCAGGGCAAGCCAAATCCGCAAAGCAGTCTCCACTTAATTTTGATCGATAATCTTCTGTACCTATTGAGAATTCAAACCAAGAAAAAGATACTGAGTCTAAAGGTTAGAATATTTATTAGTTTGTAGGAAGAAAAAAGTAAGATAACTATAGATTATGTAGCAGGGAGACAACTTGGGGTATTTTGGTCAATGGATGTCAGGAGAAAGGTTAAAAGAAAGGCTTGGAATTTTCTGGAAAAAAGAGTGACCAGATTCACATGACAGGAAAACATTAATAAAGTTGAGCTTTTCACAGCTGTACTTTCTGCTGATCCAATTCTGAGCCATTCTAGCCTATTTCACAGCTAGTCACACAATGGATATTCATTATTAAAAAGTTTATTTTTTTTCTCTGAGTCAAGAATTGAAAATATATCCAGTAATAAACATGATCCTATATATCATTGTAAATTAGGGCTTTCAAGGCAAATAGATATACTCAGGCTTTTAAATTTTCTATGGACTTTTTACTATTCTCTCCCTCTCACATAATCTCAGAGATGCCTAAAAAGCCCTCTTTTTTTTCATTTTGATTTTGTAGAAAGAGACAGGTAAATCCTGATTTAAGCCTCAGCAGCTTGCCATGCTGTAGAAAGCTGCGTGACGTTCCATGGTGCTTGACGGAACCATGTTTTACTCATACCTCGCAACCACATGGTTAGATCAAGCACAACAGAAAATCTCGCTACATTGTCACTACACCAACCACTAGGCCAAAGGTAAGACCAAGAGGAAAATGGAGGGAAGGAAGAGAAAAGCTACAGGTGTTCTGGAAATGTAATACTGTTTACATGACATGCATTCTTCCCGCAGAATGTTTATGACCATAGTAAGAGTATTACTACCGAAGATTTCCTGGAAACACAAAGAAGGGGCTATACGGAAAAGGTGCCTCCACCGTTCCTCAGAACTGCAGAATGGAAACAACAGCTTTCAGGAACAACATCCAGGAAGAAGTTGAAGGTGAGCTACAAGGACAACAGAGAAGCTCAAAGGATCTGCGGTTTCTTCTTGAAAAAAAAGGTGCCAAAGACCAGGACTAGAAGAAGGTACATCAGGATTGAAAAGGGAGGGTATTATGTTTCAGACCAGACACTTTTACTTACAGCCAAAATGGTGAATTCCTGCAAAAGTAAAGATCACCAAGAAGGAAAGAAAGAGTAATCCCAATTAAGATTAATATACATATTTATAAAACTAAGCTCTCTTCCTTCTTTCTTTATTATGGTAATTATTGAAAAAATAGCATGATGTGATGGGAATTGTCATGCTTTGTAAAATTTTATAAATAATATTTTGAAGCACGGTGGTCTCACAAGAAAACCAATGTAATAAAAGATGCATAGTGCAAATTAAGTTCTCGATTCCTTTAAAAGATGAACTCTCTGCAAGACAGATTTTCTTTTATCACTGTAATATGTAGAGTGCCATATAAAATGGTAGTAGGGAGGTCCACACGTAAAAGTGAATGAAAAACTAATCATGGAGATCCTCAAGGACAATCATTAGAACATTTGGATTAATCCTTATATTGTGATGTATACTTTTTAATGAACTTTTCAACTTATAAATAATGTTTCTTAGTGGAAATGGAATCAGAATCTCCTAAGAAGTTTGCGATGGTGAATATCACGGTTTCATTACATTTGGCAGTTAATGCCACAGTATTTATTGAGGATCTGGTGCCTTATGATTTAAGCTTCACTCCAAAATGAAGTAAGAGTGCACAAAGTCTAAATGACAGGTACACTGGGTATTCTGCAATTCAAATAATCTGCATTCAGTGGAACAGTAATAATGCTTATTTTATGGTGGCTTTTTAGGTGGACTCAAATTTTAATTAAAATTTTTGGAAAAAAGGGAAGGAGGCCCAAATGATCCTTTTGAGCCCTGGCTTCTGCAACTATTATGTTTAAATAATGTAAATTAAATTATCAAAACTTGAAAGTTAAGACATGATATTTGATATAAAAGATAATTTCCAAATCCTAATTTGGCTGCTGTCAGTAACAGGGAAGAACTGCATCAGAATACGTGAAAATAACCTCACTTTTGTTCTTTATTTAGTGAACTGGAAATATTAAACTCATCAATTATTAATTAAGTGTATTTAAATTAAATAGTTTAAATAATTTGGTACCTATTACATTACTGCCATAATTTTAGGATTTAAATCATATTAATGTTCTATTCAATAGCTCATCTGGTGTTTAGAATATGGCTTTTTTTGGTTAAATAATAGCTATCAGATTATTTTCCACTTAATTGGGTAAAGTAATTAATATTAAACATTGTCAATGAAGGCCAATCAACTGTTCTTTTCAACATGTTACTTGTTATGCAGCCAGTATAATACATACAATGCTACTGATCATTCAAGCTCAAAATAAGTCATATAACCAAATCTACTAAATCCATAAAATTATCCAAATTGTAATTCAATAATGGCAAGCAACAAATATCTCCTTAAAATAGAGACTAAACCCAGAGTTATTCTTTAGGAAATACGGAAAGGTAGACTAACACTGTACACTAACGCTGTAGAAATATCTTTTAATCTGTAGCTCTTAAAATATTTTATAGTCGAGAATATACCCAAGAGATGGTGAATGTGGCCAATCAATACTTAACATAATGGTTTAAAACAAACAAGTCAAGAGGCATTTTACACAATTGGCAGGCAAGGAAAAATAAGTAAAGAAACGTATTTTAAAGAGCTAGTTCCAGAATCATCAGTCTTGATAGTGTTAAGATTGAAGTGGTAAAACATTGCGATTACTTTTCTTAGACACATTCTATCCATCTGCCTAATTACTCAAGGCATTTTGAGACCACGAACTTCTGATGCTTTCACATCAGACATCAATGTTCTTTTTACAGACTTATATTGTAATTCCGGATATAGAAGAATGTAAAGTCATAAACAAATAAGAAACAACTGCATATAAATCAGCAGGAAGCTGCTGTTTTTCTACAAACAGTGAAGCAAAAGTAAAGCAATAAGAACAGTTTTTAAATATAAGAATCTATAAAAAAGTAAGTCTCATGGTGGAAAATGAAATTCTGTGTGTCTGTAACTGATTTCATGTAGAACGAGCTCTTTGACATCGGAAAGATCTCTGTCTTTAAAACCAGCTCAATTAGCTATATTTTAAAAACAGGTTGGAAGATCAGATATACAATGTATGGAGAGAAAATGATTTAAGTAGAAAGCCATAGCTTCAAACATTTTAGCTACTGTGAGAAATTTTAGATAATGCGCCAAAGTAAAAGAGAGAGAAGAAAAGGTGGAGTTTAATAATATATATGTTTAACATCAGAAGCTGCATGCAAAGGTCAGGTTTTCAGGAAACAGCTACAAGTGATATATGCATAAGTCAATCTATCTATAGAGTATCCACTGTACTTTCAGAAGCATGCATATCAGTTTTAGAAGCTATATTTTATAAGGTGAGGAAAGGGTGTCTGTAGTTAGTCCTACTACCGAGCAAAACCTACCTGGAATGAAATACTGTTCTTTAGCTAAATAAAAAAAGAGAAAAAAAAATAGAAGATGCACCTGAATGTCAGCAAGCAGAGATATGAGTTATATTAGATTAAGAATGGACTAAAGTTACTACAATTAAGTGAAAAATGTATATTCACAGCTGTGACTGACATATAATAATGTACAGTGAGTAGTAAATGCATCTATAATTATGGACAATAACCAGCTTGGTCCTTATATTAGCTTTTTAGTATGAAATTAACTGCCGAATGTGAAATACCCCTGGAATAGTTAGGTAGCATACTACCAAACAGACATATAATGTATTCTATCAAAAAAAAAGGAAAATATTATATCAAAGCAAATAGTAAATTTGAATGATGGAAACCTTCCATTTAATATCAATACAATGTATTCATATTTAGCTTTTTACAAATAAATGCAATATTCCCAAAATATTTTATAAAAATAGCTTTTGGAAAAAATGCATCCTCACAGTTGTATGCAAAATAAGAGAATGCAAACTGAGGAAGTGCATTCAGAGTAAGAAGCGAGGGATCTGTAGTCCCTCCCGGTGCCCCTGGACTTCTGAGCCCAAACAAATCGTGTAACCAAGTCTCAATTCACTTTCTGAAGAAACGAAAATACACTTAATTACTTGAGGTTGGTCAAGACAACAAACATGAGACTTAACACACTTCAAAGGTATTCTCAGCTAAAAGGCTCTTGTTAAATTTGAATTTTGGAAAGGTACTATTAAGTATGTAGGCTTCTTTTTAACTTGGTCAATAGCCTACTTCTGCTCTCCATGGTGTTAAAATGTTACACATAGAAGTATTATTTGAACTGTGTCTACAGTTCTCTTTATTTTGCTATTCATGGGCAGAAGAAAAAGAAATATGGTTCTACAGTGTTCACTAATCAGCCGAAGGCCAACTGCTTTTGTTAGGTCTCATGTAACCATTGTTGTTGGTCACAGGGGAAATTAACACGTGAAGAAATTACCTGAACAACGGAATTTCTTGCTTTTGATCTGTCCAATTCTTTTGTTTGCCAGGCGGCGGGGGCTGGTGCAACGGGCACCACTGGTCTCAATTGGGTTGGTATGGAGATAATCCGCTAGCCACTTGAGATGGCAGTCACAAATAAACGGGTTCTGGGCCAAATGCCTTTGGAAACACATACAGAACAGGTTTATAGATGACTTGCAAGGGACTCAACTCTTACTTTCAGAGTGGAAACAATGTCATCAAACGTGATCCAAATCACTTATACATACATAGTTTGAATGGCCCGAAGAGGTGAAAAGGTCCCCTTGGCGATGGTCTGAAGCTTGTTGTCATATAGGGAGAGAAGGTTCAAGTTGTGGAGATCCTGAAAAGCATCTACCCGAAGGCAGTTTATCTTGTTGGCATTCAATAATCTGTTTGATTAAATAGTTGTAGAATTAAAGTGTAGCATCTCACTAACTCACCTGCAAGATTTTGTGCTTTTTAAGAGAATCCAGCCGTGAAATATATTTCTTTAACTTCAACACTAACATTTTAACTTTAATAATTTAGGAATTAGAGGTTGGAGATGTGGGGTTTTACCATATAAAGCAAAAGTCATGTGATCAAATGAACCTAAATCTAGTGGTACTTATACATGTATTCACTACAAATTATTAATCATTTCCTCTGGAAGATGTAAGGGTGGAATAGTACACAAAGATGGGTGAGACCCAGCCTCCACTGGCAAGGACACCATAAAAATGTCCTAAGACACCATTATTCCCTCAAAACACTCTGTGGAAAAGTAGTTCAGGCTATTCTCAAAACAGTCGCTAGTGTGGTCCTTCTAAACATAGAAGAGATCATGTCACCCCTATCTCAGAACCACGTGACAGCTCCCAACTGGCTCTAAGTAGAAGCCTAAGTCGTCACAACAGACTGACCAGTAGTCCACTCTTCAGAACTCTGCAATCTTCCCAGTTCTCTCCTCCTGGCTGTTTCAGCTCCAATCACTAATCTCCTTGCTCTTTTTTAAACACACCAGGCTCTGCTATTCTCTGTCTGAAATGTTCATCTCCCAGATGTCAAGCCTGCTCTAATATTGCCTTCTCAATCTGGCCTCCCGGACCCCTCTCCTTAATACATGCAGGCTGTCTTTGACCCCTTCCCAAACCCTAGCACTCTCAATTCCTTTTACTTTGATCTACTTTTTCTATTTTCTAAAGTATATATATTTTTTTCTGCTATACACAACTTATTTATTATGTTACTGCTGACTGTCATCTATATGCCTCCCTACCCCACAGTAAATCATCCATATGTCTCTTTCATTTCCCCTCCTTTCCCAGCTGCCCAGCACATACTGGGAGCTCAATAAATATTGGTTGTTGAGTGAATACTTCACAATCCTCTTGGAGAGTCACATGATACATTAGTATAGGCTGTAGTCGTATATTATAAATACCTGTTTAACTTTTTAACACAATTCCCCACAAACTCCTTTTTACCCCCTATATACTATATCAATATTCTGTGGAGCTGTGGTTTATGGGTTATACTTTGGCAAACATCATTCTTGTGGATGTGACTGTGTGTGAGCTTAGGTTTATTCTTCAGCATGTACTCTGCTCTCTACTTTCCTCAACCACCTTCTGAACTCAACTTCCACCCAACAAAGTACTCCTCCCTCTGGGTTCCTCAGAATGTCATTCCATGCTATGCAGTCTTGTCACCTGTTTTATGCAGACCTGCTTATTTGGCCAATGACAGTTTCTCCCTCTTCAGGAAGGACAATTTAAAAAAATAATATTCTTTTTCTCCATCCCCAACAGGCACCACTGGTCTCAATAGGGTTGGTATGGAGATAATCTGCTGGCCACTTGAGATAGCAGCCACAAATAAAGGGGTTCTGGGCCAAATGCCTTTGGAAACACATACAGTACAGTTTTATAGATGACTTGTAATGGACTCAACTCTTGCATTCACAGTGGAAACAATGTCATCAAATGTGATCCAAATAACTTACACATACATAGTTTGAATGGCCCCGGAGAGGTGAAAAGATCCCATTGGCGATGGTCTGAAGCATGTTATTATATAAGGAGAGAAAGAATATTTTTCTCCATGGGGATGGAGAAAATTTTTTTAAATTCTTGCCTTTTAAGAGGGAGAAACTGTAGACAATACTGGATACAGCATCAAGCTATATCTAGCTATATTTAGTTCACTGCTTTGATACTTAGAACTTTTAACAAATATGTAACAGCTCAAAAAATATGTGTCATGTGGTTTGGCTATGCCTCGTTATCTAACATACTAAAAATATTTTCTCCTTTGACAATAAAACGATCTCTGTGTTAACATGGGGTATTTCCGTTTTACTTGATTTTTTTAAAGGTGCTACATCAGCAACATGCAAAGTGATGACTTTCTCACGGTGATTCAATTGGCTGTGCTCTTTGATTCCCCGTCAGGAGCTGAAGTTTTCATCTTCCCTCTGGTATATGTAATACCTTCTTAAAAGCCTTCAAGAAATGGTGGGTGACAGGGGCTGCTTAACTCCATACCTCTCCTCCCTGGGAGGAGAGTAATGCTGACCTGTTCTTTAATTAATAATCTAATTGAATAAAGCAGTTAGAGAGCAAACAAGGACAATGAAATTGTGTGGAGCCTGAAGAAACTGAAAGATGTCGTGTTGCATCATCTTGCATCTATGCAGTTTGTACTCACTTTAACTCAGTGTGGCCCAAGGAATAGTAAATAAATATTAAACAACAATCTGTTTTGTTTCTTTTATTTCCCTGACTCTTCTCTCTAATATCTGACCAACCAAAACTAAGACACTTAACTTTACCAGGTTCTCAGTCAGCTGTGAAGAGATAATCATGTCATTCTTTCGCTCTGGCAGGCTTAAGAATGAGCCTTAGTGTAGAAATGAAACTTTATAAAGATGGCTTTAGAAGGTTTATCTATATAGATCTCCATATTTTATTAGCATGTGTGTTACATCAGCCACCAATAAGTGTGCATGGAAAGAAAAAGAAGGTGACATTTTATGTATTGGTAGTAGATAGGTCAGTGATAGTAAGAGTGACTGTGAATAACTGGCACAGAGAGTAATTCTAGGGAAATGTGGAAGAATGGCAGAGAGGTGAGTCACAAGTAGGCAATACTTGGTTACAGCATCAAGCGATATCTACAATGCGTACAGACATCTGGACTGTGAATAGCATAATTCTATCAAATTAGTAACAATATTTAATAATGGAAATGCGAAGCTTAGAAAAATTTGAAACCCAAATAAAGTCATTAAGTAACGAAATCAGTATTTGTCATAACTCATTGGTCTATTGTAAAATAAATTTACTGGGTTATGTAGCACTGAGAAAATAAAGAAAGAATTGGGGCGGGGGGTGAACAGAAAGGAGAGCACTACACATAATAAGGTTCATTATTGTTTTGTTAACATTTTGTTTCATTTGTTTGTATGTGTGCGTGCTGGGATGGAATGTAAAATACATTTCTGCATAATGGTGAAAAAGTTTAAGACATGGATAATAGGATGTAATTAAGAATATAAGTTTATCAATTCAGGAATTATATATATAATATATGCTATATATAAGTATATAATACATATTACATATAATATATATAATATATATGCGCATATATATATGAAGACTGTGGGATTAGGAATAAATAGTTACCAAATAAATGCCAAGAAATAAATATACTCCAGAGGGAAAATAACACTGTATACATAAGAATTTTAAGGGAGATTTACTAAGAAAAAAATTACAACACAATTATCTTTGTATCTAAAGCATCTAGGCCAGTGTGTGCCCCAAATGAGGTCCTCTGTTTGATGATACGAATAGAATTTGATGATTACCAAGTTTTAATATTTGCATATTTTTTCCAACTTTACTTTTCATATGGGCATGCATTAAAACACATGGTGTTAAATCTGCTTTTTGCAAATATGTATGGTAAATGCTTCTTTTGAGACAAATGAGCAGTATCTATTGTCTAATCAGAGTGGTCTTTGATTTACAGGTAATTCTCTCTCTAAAGGTTAGTCTGAAGACTACCGTGTGTTACAGCTCACCGCACACCATCTGTGTTTGAGGAAGTTATTGCAATACTGTGGCTCCTGCAGATTCTTTGGACAAAGGTTGTTGAGTATATCACCATATCTTTCTTGGTTCCAACTACTGGTTAAGCTAAAACAGAGATGTTTCACAAGGACAGGGATTGTAGAAGCTTTAAATGATAGAGCAGCCAGAATGCATACATTCATGATAGTGTAGAGAAAATGGTTTGGGGACTACTCCAAAAAGTAGTGTCTTCAAGTAAATAATCAAGAATGTTAGCTTGACTAGACTAATCTTTTCTATTTTGTTAAACTGTATCATTTTGAGTCAAATTTTTCCAAAGCCTCCATAAAAATATGAGATAACAAACCGGCTAATATATATTATTAGGCTCGAGAGATGGAAAACAATCAAATACTTACAGGAGCTGTAAGGAAAACAGTCCTTCAAATAAACTCTTGGGGAGTTCTGTGATTTTATTTCCATAGAGGACACTGAAAAAAATGTTTTAAATGAAAAAAATTAGACACAGAACCTGCATAACAAATTCATCTAATACATATTTACTCAGGCATAGAGGAAGTTAGTAGGCAATCAATACATCATAAAAGTTACAGCTGAGTAAACAAACTTCATTTACAAATGTCTTTTGCCTGATTGCAGATCAGATATATGCTTACTGTAGGACATTTGGAAAACAAAAAAATAAAGAACACTATATATATATA